CAATAGTGAACTGACTGACTGTAAACGAAACCTATACAAACATGAACTGGCAATTTTGTTCAGCCATAGCATGAGCTGGTTGACACAGTGGTAACACGCATTTCCATGTTATGGATCCGGAGTTCAAAGCCCGGAATGATGAGCTCTAATAAGAACGAAACTCGATTACGTGCTTCCGAATGATTGGTTAGGTCAGGTCAGGTCACAGGACTTTTGGCTTGAGTCTATATGTATTGATGTTCTTGCACCCCGGGCTCCGTGTTCTCGTCGTGCTTCGACTGCCAAGCGTTTCTTTGACCCAGCTTGTCTTCCCGTTCACTGGTATATATATATATATATATATATAATTTGGAAAATGAGCCTAGTTTGGAATCTGTCCGTCTTACACCTACATAATTTACATTCATGGGTTAACAACGTAAGGAGGATCAATGGAGTGGAGAACGTGCAACGAAAAGAAGAACGAGAGTAGATAATTCGTGAGATTTCAACATTTATTCGTAAAATGCGTCACCCAAAAGCTTTCGCCACCTCGCTCACTCACCCCACTGACTTTTAGCCACCGTCTTGCGCTCACACTGTGGATCAGCCTGAGTTCAGCAGTGCATACATAAACGAAAATAGACAACTGTACATGTGTTGCACTAGTCTTTTATGGAAGGTTGGAGCACAAGGTGGAAGTGCTCTGTTTAACGCCCTAAAGGCATCATATCCGGCAGCACCCAGAGGTACCGACGCCATTGTGGCTGGTGGGTCTGTAACTGCACGAAAGCAATTCAAATTATTCGGGATTCAGCAAAAAACGTTCTATTTGCCGACCCCAGGACCCAAGCTAGACTAAATGTATGGAGTGGTGGTGGTGATGATCGAGTAATGGTCTTCTGCTCCCTGTTGACCATTCTCAACCGCAATCCGTTTTAGGTCGAAAAAGACGCGTGGTTCTTTTGTTCCATTGGAACCTCTGTGTTAGTCTGCTGGATTTCAGCACACTGGTGATAGCTTACAGATGCGGTTACCTCGGTGACCGTATTTAGGTTTATGTGATGATCCTAGCCTGCGAGATGACGCATACCACGGAGTGATACGTTACAGTTTTTGGACAACTGTGATCAGTCAAGCTTCACTGGTGACGTTAGCAAAGCCCGTATGTGTCACAGCTTCGGGACTATATACGTTAAGTCGATTGTACCAGCCAATCAGAAACCGTGCAGACCAGACCGAAGCTGGACAACGCCAGGAATACTGGAACGCGATTGGCAGAAGCCTAGATGACCACTGAGCTTGTTTTGTACATATCATCTAATCCCCTTGATTTCTCTCAATCAATGAACTGCTATTTTTGTGGCCTTTTTCACGCACCTTGGTTACGATCGGGTATTCCGTGCAAGTACCAGCGTGGTCGAGTGCATACGCTTCATCCGTGATGGCTAATCATTGATTCATATCACGCGTTCATTGCATAATACTACTACTATTACTACTACTATTGTTATAATTCCCAAAGGCGGTGCTGGTCGAGGATGTTCTTTAATTGAATATTATACATGGAATGTCAGTAATTTGGCATAATTTGGCACACGAAAACGTAACCAGAAACATACCATCGCCGTTCCTGGCGGCACATCGAATAATGCATAGGGCAGTCGGTAATTATTCTTTCAGACTTATCACTTGGCCCTAGGTAATCTTGTTATATTTTTAATCATTGAAAGTTACCTACTACTCACAAGTGAGTAGTATCTCACAACACTATTCCCACAATTAACACAGTTTATTGTCTCCAACTTCCGTTCACTACAGGTCAGTTTCCATTTTCGTCTCGCATTGTCGGGTAAATCTAGTCGTACCAGCAATGTTTACTTTGGTGGAAAGGACCGCATTTGCATTTGCAATCCGGTTCAACATGAGGTATGAACGCATCAGCTGTTGTTTATAGAACACCTGATGATTGTGCATGAAGGTGAAATTTGTAGGATGGTCAGTTCAAATTAAAACTCAATCAAATTGAATGTTACTTTTCATTGCACCCATTCTAATTAACCGGAACGAATTGCTCCGCAATTTTGTTTATGTTCTCTAACTATGTGTTATGTCCCCTGGGTAGTTCTTTTTTTATTGACAAATTATTGAAAATCGGTTCTTGTAGCTCGAATGAACTGAATTCCATTTCTACATGACCCATTATCGTTGATCTGTTTCCACGAAGATGAAGAAAGACATCAGTTTGACTTCGAGTCAGTGAAACTGATCGACCAAGCCTGATCAAAACAGTCCAGAGAATTTCTCCAGGCTTGGCACTTCTCGATCGACTCAATGAACAGGCACATCGAGCTGGATCACGTGTACACGCCAATGCAACTCAAGGCTCAAATGACGCAACAAAGAAAAGATCACCCCGTGACCTGAGAACGGACGAAAACCGCAATCCGGACGAAAAGATGAACCCTTCCAACTCTCACCTAGCGCCCCAGTTTAACGGCAGACCGAGTCGAACAGAGTGAGAACAAGGGACAAAAATAGTCGGTGAAGAAGAACAAATATATATAAATGAACGGGTACAAGCAGAAAACTGTCACTTCACAAGCACTGATAATGTCACCTCGGCTGGTGATGTAACGTTTGCAAACAGATTTTCAAGTTCGGTGAACAGGTGAAATGGAGTTATTTAATTATCCCATCGGAATCAGACAACCACCTTCAAAGGATAAAAAGGAAATGCTTCCCCGAAAGTGCATTGATGATGTTCCCGAACCCGAGTTACGAAACATCTGCGAACAACACTTCCAGCTCGGAGAACATATCAACTTTGAACGGTCTCACTCACTTCAACGTAGCATTTCAAATTAGTGTAGCCACTAGCTCAAGGAATTGTCAATTGACTGAGTAGCCAAAGGTTTCAACTTCCAACCGGAAGGTTGGTGGCTCAAGCTCCGGACAGGGATGAAAACAGTTGGCACTAGGGATAAGTACTAACAAAAACAGAACAGATGTTAGGTTCTTTTTATTGGTCACCGCATATAACTTTTCCATCGCAAACAAACATTCATTATTTATCAAACAGTAAAGTGTAAATATGACTTAAATATTCGAGCGCAAGTACTGATCTCCAGGATTAGTAAGACAGACCACTGGGGTGACCGATTGCATTATTCCATTTTCTATTGCATC